CTCGAAATCTATCATTTTTAGGTTATATTTGATCTTTACTATTCTGATACACTTTGAAGAAGATATTTTCATTTTCAATAATATTATTTTGTATTTTTGTTCACAAACGTGTTTCTTGATTAATTTATCTTATAAATGGTGTCCCACAATTAACACAAGATTTGAATTTGCCGCCATTTGTGTAGTAAAGTGTTGGGAACCCAAAAAAAAAACAATTTGACACTTTACTGCATTTGCGTTAATTTTGGGACACCTTTTATTATGTATGTAATACATAAAATTGAAGGTTAAGGTTAGATTAAATATGTTTCGTAATTATATAATACTATGTTTAATTGTAGATATAATAATTTCGAAACCAAATAATTCTAAAAAAAATATCAATTAGGTTAGGTTAACTCAAAGATTCATTTTTTTAATATTTTTCAATAAATTATTCAATATTTTCATAGACTTAAATTAAGTAACTTCATATACATTAAACTGTCAAAAAGTTATATAACTTAAACTTATTTTAAGTATTCAATTTAAATTAGATATAACCTTGTGGTCTTTGATTAACTTATGTAATATTTGTATGTAAAAATTAGTTTTGAAGGTTAGGTTAAGTTAGGTTACAATTACTTTGTATCGTAATTACATAATTACATATGTTTAATAATCAGATTAAGCAACAATCGAATGCTAACCTAGCCTAATAATATAACATTAAGGTTAGATCAAATTAAGTGATGTTAGTTAAGTGACGTTACCAAAAAGTTACATAACCTAACCTTATTTTGAGTACATAAAACATAAAAAATGTACACTTTAAACAGCAAAAAAAAGTTGTAGCTTCAATAAAATTATTATTTGGAAATCCCATTGAAACAGGTCATCTATTTTTACATCTAACCTGTCAATTCAATGATAACCCATCTGTTCCATCGCTTTATGAAACATTTGCTTTTTTAACCGTTATTAGCTCATTGTTTTCGAACGAGTTTCTCTTCGCTTTATGTATTCCACAATTATTTTAAACCAAACCATTAAAAATCCATCAATGTTTAAAAAAGGAACGAATTCGCGCCACGTTTTATGTGCAATATGTATGGTGACATTGAGACTCTTATCAATTGACATTTTTCAAACTACAATAACACAATGTTATCATCGCTTCTATTTCGTTAAATTTCATTTCATTTTTTCCTTTCTCGAATTAATGATGTTTTCACCATTCGGAAACGTTGCATTGCGTGCACGAAATTATGGAATTTGTAGAAGTCACGACATACGTTTTACATCTTCTACAGTAGCAACAGTGGAAGACAAACAACGACTTAATGAATCAATTATAAAGTTGTTTTTTTTATAGTTTTAATGTCAACTGCCATTTTCCAATTGGACACAAAACTATTACTGTAATACTTCTTTTATTTTTTAAATGACATACTTGCACGTAATTACTTTTGATTTGATGATCATTTACCGGTAATTTTTATTTCCCACAATCTTATAAAAGAAAATATTGTTTTTATTACGCAAATATGTGATTTGATAAGTAATATTACGTTTTCAAAATTATAATCTATTTTCATCTAAACATTTGTCACACTTGACGTTAATATGACAGTTGACAATGATAACTAAAAATGACAGAACTTACGATTTTTTTTATTTTATTCAAACGCAATTGTCATAATTATACTAAAGTATACACAAATAAAATAAATAAATTTATGCCGAAATTATTTTGTTATTCGTTTTATTATCAAATCTATTTGCATCTAAACACTTGTCACATTACTTTTTTTAAAGTATTCTTATAGATGGTGTTGTTTGACGTTAATATGACAGTTGGCAATGACAACTGACAGCAATGACAGAACTTACAATTTTTCTTATTTTATTCAAACGCAATTGCCATAATTATACTAAAGTCTACACAAATAAAATAAATAAATTTTCGCCGAAATTATTTTGTTATTCGTTTTATTATAAAATCTATTTGCATCTAAACACTTGTCACATAACTTTTTTTAAGGTATTCTTATAGATGGTGTTGTTTGACGTTAATATGACAGTTGGCAATGACAACTGACAACAATGACAGAACTTACGATTTTTCTTATTTTATTCAAACGCAATTGCCATGATTATACTAAAGTATACACAAAAAAAATAAATAAATTTATGCCGAAATTATTTTGTTATTCGTTTTATTATCAAATCTATTTGCATCTAAGCACTTGTCACATAACGTTTTTTAAAGGTAATCTTATAGATGGTGTTGTTTGACGTTAATATGACAGTTGGCAATGACAACTGACAGCAATGACAGAACTTACGATTTTTCTTATTTTATTGAAATGCTTTAATAATGTTTTTGCAATAATTATATTAAAGTATACAAATAAAATAAATACATTTTCACACAAATTGTTTCATTATAATCAAATCAATTCGTATCTAAACACTTGCCACATGACTTCTTTTTTAATTATTGTTATAGATGGCGTCTTTTTGACGTTAATATGACAGTTGACAATGACAACTGACAATAATGACAGATCAACCGATTTTTCTTATTTCATTCAGTTTATCTGAAATTCGAAAATTAATTAAGGAATTTCATAAAATAACTAATGAAAATATTGATTTAATAGTTAAAAACAGATGGCGTTATTTTTGACGAAAATGTTTGACAGCTATCAAAACGTCACACTAAATTCCAATTACTTTCCGACTGAATCTAATATGTCTTTTTAAAAAAATGAATCGTTTCGTAGTTGATTATTTATAGCGTGAATAAAGAAATTGGTCGTTTTCGTCTGTCGCAATTGACACGGACATGTGAAGTGATTTAAGGTAAGGCGTCGAGGATGTTCGTGCAGGAATCCGTTTTTCGTTACTGCAGTAGTTATAAAGCAAAGTATGCCGTGTGCTTCGATCTAAGTGAAATTTCCTACGCTTACAATATACATTTTTTGTTGGTGTCCGCCTTTCGTTTTCTCGTAGTTTCTTTCTATTTCTATGGAGGAGCACTACAAAAAAACAACAACAACAACGAAAAATAAAAACTAAGTAGAACAACGGAAACATCCATCCTAACCGCGACACAAAAGAGAACCGGCATTCCGGTTTGCATACGAACGTGGAAAGCGGATCAAGAAAAATTAGCGTTATTCTCACCAAATCTTATTTCAACCGTTATTTAACACAGAATTAGACATATTTTTTTTTTGCAATAAAAAAACAACAACATGGACTTTTTTTTGCTAAATTTAGTTACAAATGAACACTAAACGTAATAAGTACACATTTTAATATGTAAATTGTCTTGTTTGTAAGTTTATTTCTTAATTAGCAATTTACTAATTATCACATTACTTTATTTCATAAATTAATAACTTTATATATCAGTAAGAATTATCATGTAAAATTTCTGTATTTTTTTATCTACAAATTACCAAGACTTACTATACTTAACTATTAGTATTAGTCGTTCGTTTTACACGTGATTTCTTCATGGATTTGAATAATAATGTGCAATCTATTTGAAAAGATACATCAACATGAGCATTAGTTATTTTGTAGGCGATTATTAGTGCGTGCAAAAATTTGTGCACTCATAACGGAACCTCGCGGTAATCCTCGCCCCGTCGCTCATCCTTGGAACAATGCTCGTTACTCTTGTACCTGTACATTATTTTTATTTTGTATCCTTCTATTTCTGTTTCAACTTTTGTTAGTGGAACTTTATAATGAGTTTCGTGTGATCGATGAATATGCAACGCGCTTATTATAATTGGTGCAACAATCTTCGTTCTTCGAACGTGAGCGTTAATTGCACCTGACATTGAAAGAGAGAGAGAACAATTAAAAGCCCAACCAAACATAAAACAATAAGTGGTTTATACTAAGTTAGAGCACGTTGCGACAGAAGAGAGGAAAAAAATCATAGATAGAATCCCACAGATAATGTTAGAGATAATTAAATAAATAAAAAAAAATATGCAATACGAACCAAAATCATATTATGTAAAAACAACAATACTCTAGGTGTCAGCAGTAAACTTAATTATTTTTTCTCTACCCAAACCGTTTGTTTGCGTTTTTTTTTCGCTTTGAAATTATGCAACTTATAGTAACTTTCACTCATTCGTTACCTAATAATAATAGTCTGGTTTTGATTGATCTTGTTTCTGTTTGTTTGTTGTTTTTTTATTCAAAATTTAGTGCAATCGCGCGTCAACATGTTACGTAAATTTGTTTATAAATTTTGAAACTTTCGGTACGCGCTTTGTTTCCGAGCGCACAGCCTTGCCGTCGCGAAATCCGGCACCAAACTGGACGACATCGAATTCCTAGTGAGCGCTAAAGAGACCAGCGAACGGCACGTCACGTCACGGCGTCGTCGTTGCGTAACGACGTAATTATCTGCACTTGCGTGTACATTTGGTTGCATACAAAGACTACAAACTCATTGGATGTTTTCCATGTAACGGAATTATTACATTTCGTTTTTTTACAGTAAGATAATTTAATGTATTAGATTAGTATAGGTGAGACATTATTAAGATTTTCAACAAAATGTATTGAATTTTCTTTCGGTTTCATCAAAACTATTGTATTTATGATGAAATCAAAATTTTATAAACAAAATCATGTTTTTGTATGTAAAGTAAAATTAAAAGTTTTTTCAAAATTAAACTGAATACAAAAATTGATTTATTCTATTAAATTAAGATAGAAACTTTGTAATTTATATAGATTTTTTTTGTATTTCAAATGTTAAGTCTTAATGTACAATAAATTTTACAAAATTAATGTAAACTTATAAAAATTTGATAAACAAAAATGTATATATTTTGCAAATTGAATTTGTTTGTTACAAAGTAAAAATAGAATTTCAAAAATGTATGTTTCTATTCATATTTATAAATATGACCTAATTCCATTTTCTTTATCAATAGAATGATAAGAACATAACTGTTTAACAAAATTCGTAATATGTTTTGATAAATGTTTGCTATATGCAAATTATTTGAATGACACTTTCTGTTAGAATGTAACTAGATATAACTTCCCCTGGACTGGAAGCCTAATCCCACAATTATAGCCTTGAATAAGCCGAAAACAAGGCGAAACAACATTTCACTTGAGCCAGGCGTTGTTTGGTCATGGATGCTTTGGCAAGTATCTGCACTTTATCGCAAAGAAGGAAGATGAATTGTGCTGGTACTGTGAGGATGACGATAGCCCTGAGCACACGCTGCAGATGGCTTGGAAGAAAGCACGAGGCGGAGGCAGAATTGGAAGTTCTGCTAGAGCCGGAAAATGTTGTCAGTGAAATGCTGAAGAGTGAGGAGAGCTGGGATATTGTAGCGGCTGCAGAGGGCCTAAAAGGGCAGTGGCAGTGGAGACAAGCATTAACATGATCTAAGGGAAGTACCAAACAGGAAAAGACAATCAGCATCGCAGAGTAGTAAAATGATACAGGTCCTGTATGCTGACGAAGAAGGTGAGAGGTTTTAGTGCGGTAGGAATCCCACAGTACCACGACTGCTCCACCCGTGGTCCCTATGTAAGGTTTCCTCTCCTCTACAAAAATAAAAAGTTATAACTTCTACATAAACTTCGGAATTTTTGAAGACGTCTGCTTCCCTCAACACATTTAACTTATGTTTTTATGTTTCCAATTAGACTCATATCAACGTATACAACTATATTTACATCTAAGATGAGCAATACTTCCTCATAATACTATTAGATTTATTTTTAGTTATTTTGCTTTATTTTCTCCTTAATCAAAAACAAATATCAAAACGAAAATCTTAAGAAAATCTTACTTATACTTATTTAATATAGTAAATTATGAAAGATGTATAAGAATCTTAACGAAAATAATTCATTCAAAAACAATACAATACAATTTGAAGAAGCGACTTAAGTCACTAACTTTAGCTCCCAAAAGTAACGTCAACCAGTAAAGTTTTTGTTGTCCAGACATAAAAAATCTTTTGTTGTCCGATTTGTCCGATGTCCCAATGTACTTGAAATTAGTTATTACCCTACAACTACTCCCTTCCACCCTTCATCCTTTGATTATTAAAAAAGAAACTACAACTCTATATATATATTTTTTTTTCCCTTATTCTTCTGTTGTTCATTGTATATTATTATTATAATACTGATATTATTTCATAAGAAAGTTTATGTTCCCGGGCGGAAAGACCTCGGTCGTTAGCCCTTTGCCCAGCCTATTAGTATATATGTATGTTAAAATTTATTTATGTATAAATTGTACTTTTTTTTCTCTTCTCTTTATGTATCGATGTTTGGCTAATAAATTACTATTATTTTTTTAGTTATTAATAATATTAATGTTCACAAATGATAGTATTTGGTTAGATAACCAGTATAGCTAAGATGAACCAAGTATTCTACTAAAAACACTATTTTCTCTGAATGAGATTTCACAATATTGGCTAACATGATCATTACAAGCAAAATACTTACCTTCCGATCACTTAAATATTATTATAAAAAAGTACTCACTATTTATTGATAACATAATAAAAATACATTTTATTTTATTTATTTTATAATTAATATTTTTATAAAGATCCTGTTTACAATTCAATTACATCAATAAACAACAAAACAAATGAAAGTCACATGTATCTTTCCATATTGAGAATTGCCTACATTTATATACCCGATCATAAATACGTCTGTTTCAATAAACACACGTATTTTATGATGCAATAAAACAATTGTCTTCTGAAGTCTAGCGATGTATAGTGAAACATTCCCAGTAGCTTTTAATCTTTATCTGAGAAGATATTATAAACTGTCAATTTTGACACCTATCTGTTGTATTGATATGTTCATTTACATATTGCTACTTAATAATAAAATATGTTTATTTGTTTAATATTTATTTTCAACACTAAGCTTATTCAATGATGGAACTAGGAAATAGTCCAGAACCTATATATCATGGGACACGACGATACATTGTAGATTACTCTACATTTTTGCTTTGTTCGTACTCAATTGCATTGATCGTACACAATTTCGCAATTAGTTTTATTTGATTTCCTGATTACCACTCTATCCTATAACCCACACTGTATGATTAAATTCCAATTGCAAATAATTGCATTACATTCAAAAGGATTTCATCACTCAGTTTGTATTACTATTTCATCGCTTTCACTACATCCAATTTATAATTAGCGACTTAAGTTTATCAATATTCGCGTTCCTAACGTGATCGCGCGCACATGACTCAAAATAAATAACCTTAGTGATTAGCATTTGACCAAACGAGAGATGGCACTGCTTTCGACTCCTCTACAAGTACTAGTAACTTGTCGTCGAACGTAAGGATTCTGAAAATTGGGAATATTTAAGATCATACTTCACAGGATCATTTCTGTAGTATATCTTCACAACACATATCACAAACGTGACATGTATACAAACCACGATGATGAGTCGTAGTTCTGCTATCTGAGCGTGAGGCAGAAGCTCTGGATTCTTACGAATTTGGATCTTCATCGATGACCGTTCGTTTTACTTCTTCTGAAGTTTAGCGAAGGATAGTGGAGCATTCTGAGTGGCTTCTTTATTTAAATCAAAACAAAAATTTATTGTAATCTTCTTTCAAATCCTTTCATTTTCTTTGAAAATGTTGAACGATTAAGTTTGTAACTTTTAAGTTACAGTTCAAAAACTGTTTATATCAACAATTTTTTTACCTCGAGATGAAAGCCTTACTAGAAACCACAGTAGTTTCGTGGTACTGTGGGATTCTTACCTACTAAAAACCTCTCCTCTTCTTCATCAGCATTCAGGTTCTGTTTGTTGATACCTCTCTGAAATGTTGATTTACCTTACAATTACGTTCCATTTGTCACTGCTTTTCAGTAGTTCACTGAAAATATTTTTCGGGGTTATAACAACTCCAAGGTTTGGAGTTACCTGCTTCCTTTCAGCCCAACTGCAGCAACTGAATAACGTATATTCCAGGCTGTCATTATCCTCGCAATACCACCGTCTTTTTTATTCGCGATGAAGTATAGATATATACCAACAATTAGATAAATGCAAGTTGTTGAATAAAATAAGACATTCAGGTTCAAGACAAAAGAAACTGAAAGAGGGGTTTAAAAAAAAGTGTAATTTATTGTCTCATATTATTGTTTTCACTTCAACGCTTTGACAATCCATATCTTAACCTACAAATCGTTTTCGCCTCGTACAACCTAAGTGAAGTGACTTACAGCTAAATGTACACAGAGTGACTTACAGAGAGATAACGCGTATAAATAAATTAATATAAAAATTTACAAGTAATCAAATAATATCGAGAGGTTTCACATCGTCTTAAGAAACAGAACAAATTAATATTTAAAAAAAAAACAACTTAATTACTTGCATCACCGATATAAAGTGATCTAACGTGTATAAAAAAAATATATGTATACATTTGTTATATTTTTATTTCGAGCAACCCGTCTTGCACGGCCACCAGGACATTTGCCTACTCGTTCGTAATGTCATGATGAGTAACATCCAACAAACAATGAACACAATGAACTCTTTGTTTATATATTTGAGTTATTCGTGAATGCGAAAGAGCCTGCATTGTTTATTAATTTATTTCGGGACGTGTTTCCTTTCCACGAGGATCTGAATTAATCATCGTCGCAGGATCTGCAACTCTTTTCTTATTTTTTTTTAATTATATTTATATCTTGTTTTCATCTTAAAGTATTACTTTTTTTTTTTTGGAATTTCGAGCTTAAAAATTTTGCGCGTAGGAACTGCCCACCGTTTCAGAATGATCTCTTCCGTTTTGTCTCTTTTGTGATTTTCCTAAACGACCTCGACTTTTTCTGCGCTCAGTATGGTCTTGAGCCACACTTCCGGGTTGTATCCTGCCTGCTCCCCGCCCATTTCCGTTGGGAGGATGTCCCTGGCCACGTACTCGTGCAGCGTGCTCAGGTTGTTTCCGTGCACGTAGATCCTCTCCTTCGTTTTGTCCTTGAGGAAGGGTTTGATCACTGTGAGCGCCGCCTCCACGTACCACGGTTGTCCGATGAAGTGGATGCCTTTGAATTTCGCTGGGAAGCAGTCTTGTAGACCTTCTATCATCAGCTTCAGAACGCTCGGTTTCAAATTCGTCGTCTGCCTAAACGAAAATTCGGTCCAATCCACAAGCACGACAAAGCCTTTGGCTTGGTACTGCGTTTCGTTGATCAGCACCTCCAGAGTATATAAAAGAGCACGATAGACGCTGAGAAGGGTGTAGGAGCAGTCCCAGTTGTTGGCGTTGAGTATCAGAACGCACCTGCCTTTCCTATCTTTGGAATCGAGCACTCCGGGAAGACCATCCTCCAAGGACTTTCTTATATCAGCAGCGTCCGTGTTGAAGTTCTTGAAGATCTCCGGATTCTTCTTCCTATACCCAAAGTAGCTTTGGATTAGGCTGAAAGCTTGGTCGACATCAAACTTCCTTGCATATAAAAACTTCAACAGACTCCTATCGTCCACTTGAATGGAACGCTTCATCTCGATATCAGCGGACTGTTGCACCAAAGTCCTCAAACTCTGAATCGTCGTCTCTTTGTCCACCTCCTTGTGACACCTCATCAGCTCAGTGGCGAAGGTTTCTCGAGATATCAACCCACCCTTCCAATCGTACTCCAAATATTCCGCCATTATTCTGCAACCAAACAAACAAACAAAATCAAACAACGTTTAACACGAATTAGCCTAAGCACACTTCACGAAATTTCCAACTTAAGAAATTGATACGCACCACTCGGAATCGAACAATGGACTGCCTTATTCCAATATGCATTTATTCAGTACGCTCCATCACCGATAAAGAAAAAAAATGTTTGTTGCTGTCTATTTGTTTCCGTTCGTTAATCTCTTCGCAATGAAAATATAGAATATTAAACGAACAATCAGCGTGCTTTGTGCTACTACTTTCAATACAAAGTCTAAGATAATCAGCTTCGTTCAGACTAAATATTTACTCGCAATCTAAAGCGTTTTTCAGCGTCTTTTCTTTAATAAGTAAATAATTCCAAGATTGAAATGTCAACGACACAGGTGATGCAGAGCAGAACAATAAAATTAATCAAGGCTTGAAACAGTTTTAATGGATTTTCACAGATAATTTAACTTTAATTAAACAAGTTTATTATAATTTTTTGAAAATGCAATTAAAAAAAAATATACGAATTCGCAACAATAAGCTATAAACACTGATATTTGCTGCAAGGCTATAAATAATTGTTTTATTTGATGGTTCATTTTTTTTGTGATAACTCAGAAACTATTAATTATTTTAAGGTTACATAAGAAGCTTTTTAACCGTTGCTAAGTAACGATTTCCACGTTTTATTTATTTACTCCATAACCTCTAATACAAATAGGATCATCAAGTAAATATAAAACTATGGCCTTTCCATTCTACCAGATTTTTTTTGGTAGTACCGGTTTTCCTGCAAAAATCTCACAAATTAAAGCAAGAACATTTTCCTTATTATTTCCATTTCTGAAAAATGTTAATAATCAAATTTCATAATTTTACTATATATATTTTGTATATTTTACTTAACTTAAATTAATGACAGATTTATCTGAAAAATCATGACTCAAATCTAGGTATTATGTAGAATACCGAATTATACAATAACACCGTTATTATGATTAACGTAACGTAAAAAATTGGGTCAATAATAAAGATTTGAATTTTTTTTTTTAATAACAATAAGCTTTGAACTTTATGACTTTATTATATGGCGCAAAGGTTGTCTATTTGCGCTCCTCCTTTCGTTTACTTAATGTATTTAGTTCATTACCATGGTTATTCCATGCCAACGCATAAACAACTAATTGAAAATGCATCAATTCTCTTACCCACATACAACAACATCAAAATTACATTTAATTTTTTTCTATTAAACTATAATACAGCAACTTAATGCCGTAACAAGTAGTTTTTTCTCTCTTAGTAATCACATTTGTAATTACTTTATAAAGTAAATATTAACGTTACTTTCAAGGATTACAAACTGCAAATATATATTTATTTCAATGTTACGCAAAGGTATAATAATACCTGATTTCAATCGAATCATTAATAAAAGTTGATGCAAATTGTAACTTAAGTCTGCCATCTAAATTAACCGGTTGCAAGTCCGACAACCAAAATCCCGTCTATCGAAATACCGACTATATCGAAATCCCGACTACCATAATTTTGACAATCAAAATCCCGACTATATCAAAATCCCGACAGTGTCTTTTATTATTATAAATTTCTACAATAACATTTATATGGTAGTCGGGATTTCGATATAATCGGGATTTTGACATAGTCGGGATTTTAAACATCGGGACTTTAATATAGTCGGGATTTCGAACGTTAGGATTTCGATACAGTCGAAATTTACCCAAATTAAGAACTAAGTACTTGTCTAAATATTGTTGGTATACTAAACTGTCAGTAATAATAAACTTCGCATATCGAACGTTGTTTTGTAGCCACGACTCCAAATCTACTATAACCTAAGTAACATGTTGTCATCCTCCAATTTGTTTACATAAATGTCAAAGTTCAAGTGACAAGGTGATGCGTATGCAATGTCAATTCAACTTAAAACTCAAACTTGATGAAAAGTCAAGTTATTTAAACTTTCGATTGTTTCTTTTTTTAAAAGTATTATTGAAAGTGGGTGTTGCAATTTGCAAAGGTAGTGAAGTCGATATAGTCGGGATTTTGATTGTCGGGATTATGGTAGTCGGGATTTCAAACGTCGGGACTTTAATATAGTCGGGATTTCGAACGTCAGGATTTCGATACAGTCGGGATTTACCCAAATTAACAACTAAGTACTTGTCTAAATATTGCTGGTATACCTGTCAGTAATAATAAACTTCGCACATCGAATGTTGTTTTGTATCTCAAAATCTACTATAACCTAAGCAACATGTTGTCATCCTCCAATTTGTTTACATAAATGTCAAAGTTCAAGTGACAAGGTGATGCATACACATACTTCAATTTCAATAATACATTACAAGGAAGCGAAGAGCATCACTGATATGCACGTATACTCATTAAAATCCTTGAATCCTCAGCTTCAATTAGTCTCACAAATAATTATTCCGCCCATTATATTTTTCGAGTTCTAAACGCAATTTTAGAGATTTTAACAATAACGAAAAATTTTACTTTATCGACATTCCTTCAATTTTGATAATAAATTACAACAAATCCAAGAGCATCACAAACGTGCAACTATACTCATTTTATTCTCTATACATTAAGCTTTAATTAATGTATTCAATCATATTTCCACCCTTCCTACTTTCCGAGTTATAAGCAAAAATCTAAAGATACTACTTTGTACGCTCCGAACAAAAAACTTCAATTTCAATAATAAATTACAAGAAAACGAAGAACATCACTGATATGCACGTATACTCATTAAAATCCTTGAATCCTCTGCTTTAATTAGTCTAACAAATAATTATTCCACCCATTCTATTTTTAGAGTTCTAAACAAAATTACCTATCATACTTTTTGAGAATTTAACATATGTCAATTCAACTTAAAACTCAAACTTAATGAAAAGTCAAGTCATTTAAACTTTCGATTGTTTTTTTTTTTTTCAAGTATTATTGAAAGTGGGTGGCGCAATTGGCAAACGTAGTGAAGCAAATATCAGATCATCCAATTACAATAAGATATTGACCTATGATGCCTACGTCCTTCGCCGAGTAACATTCTTCGATTCAATAGTTGCTGCATTCGATTATCAGAACACACTTCTTTTTATTTTTGTTGTTGTTGTTGTTCTGTCGCAAGATCAGCGCTTTTCGGAACGGATACGCAATCCAAGTACGAGGTGTACTTTCGAATTAAATTGTTTCATGGCCCACCTCTTTACTTTTATTTTCATCCAAAAATTGACAGTATTCCAATCATTAAGAACAGTGAAACTTTATCGATTTACTTTTTTTCGAACTTGAATCTGCTATAATTAGAACGCAGCGTTTGGTGTTTACTGTATCAAGTAGTAAAGTATATTTAAATACACGTTAAGGGTCCAAAGTACAAATAGTTTTTTGTATCGAATTCTAAAGAAAAATAATTATTTAATTAGTAATTAAATTTGAATATTTTAGATAAATTATAGAAATTTTCTCTCTTGGTTACATAACTTTTTCTATATGAAATATGAATATTCAAACAAAAATAATTGGTGAAAAATAACGTTTAAAAAAAGCGGAAAACTTTTTAGTTTAATTAGTGTAGGAATTAAATCAAATTTATTCAAATTTCGTCACGTCGGAAGTTTGAAGCGAGTTTTGTATATATTTAGATAACCGTTTCGGTTTGTTTCAGAAATAAATAAATAAATAAATAAACATGGGTTGAGATAGAAGAGCGAAACGGCTGGAAAGAAGAAAAAAATGTTGGAAATATGTAGTCTCTCATATTCCGGGATCAACCATTTAGAAAGTTGAAAATGTATTCTAATTACGTTCGTGAAAGTTTTCCTCTTCGCCTATATCGCTCATCCATCCACTAATTAACTTATTAATAGACACGAGGTAATAATCCCACTCGAGATTGATGTATTTCACATAACCATCACTAGATATTAACGAAATCTCAGATTATCAACAAAAAAAAACGCAAACGATAAAGGTTTTTCAAAACAAAAAAAATAGATTTAACGCAACGAATTACTTAATTGTTTAATACGTGCCTAAATTATGGTTACACTTCGAATGAGGATTTAGAACGTGACACATTTGGTTATTATCTAATTTTCTGTTGCAAAGAGACAAAGAGATTTTGTTTTTCTAGTTAATGAGTTACAAAATAATTGCGAATCTCATGCATGCAGAATGTCGTAACACAATGGTGAAGCTTTGAATACTTTTTAAACATTCGTCATCTATTTACAAAAAAAAAATCATTTTTATTAATGTAAACTTAGATTTTTGTTTATATGACATAACGAAACTTCATAATTGACAGTTAACGAATGTTAAGCAACTTCATTAAAGATTGGAATTTGGAAAAGGTACTAATTTCCACATAGAGCAAATCAATTAGAAACGAAGACGATTTTCTTTTTATTAGTACATAAAACTTTTTTAAACTGTAATTTCTTTTTATCTCATATAACTAAACGTACTTGATTTATAATTAACGAAAGTTAAGCAACGTATTTAGAGGATATAATTTGAAACGGTGCGCATTTCCAAGTAGAAACGAAGACGATTTACTGAACACTTAACAGTGACATCAATTTGTCATCAATTTACAGAAAAAAATGTTTTTGTTAATGTTAACTTAGATTTTTATTTATATGACATAACTAAACTTCATAATTGACAGTTAACGAAAGTTAAGCAACTTGTTTACAGATTGGAATTTGGAAAGGTACTAATTTCCACATAGAGCAAATCAATTAGAAACGAAGACGATTTTCTTTTTATTAGTACATAAAACTTGTTTTAAACTGTAATTTCTTTTTATCCTATATAACTAAACGTACTTGATTAATAATTAACGAAAGTTAAGCAAGGTATTTAAATGATATCATTTGAAACAGTGCGCATTTCCAAGTAGAAACGAAGACGATTTACTTAACACTTAACAGTGACATCAATTCGTTATCAATTTACAAAAAAAAAATCGTTTTTGTTAAAGCAAACTTAGATTTTTATTTATATGACATAACTAAACTTCATAATTGACAGATAACGACAGTTAAGCAACTTGTTTAAAGATTGACTAAAGAAAAGGTACTAATTTACAAATTTACGATTTATATGCAAAATAATTGCGAATCTCATGCATGTAGAATGTTGTAATATAATGGTGAAGATTTGAATAGTTTATATAATTGTTTATATGACATAACGAAACTTTATAATTGACGAAAATTAAGCAACTTGTTTAAAGATTGGTTAAAGAAAAGGTACTAATTTACAAATAGAGCAAATCAATTAGAAACTAAGTCTATTTATATGCAAAATAATTGCGAATCTCATGCATGTAGAATGTTGTAATATAATAGTGAATATTTGAATAGTTTTTAAACATTCGTCATCAATTTACAAAAAAAAATATTACGTTTTTTTTTTAAGTAAACTTAGATTTTGTTTATATGACATAACGAAACTTTATAATAGACAGTTAACCGAAGTTAAGCAACTTGTTTAAAGATGGGAATTTGAAAAAGTACTAATTTACAAATAGAGCAAATCAAACACGATTTCCTTTTTCTTGGTACATAAAAACTTTTTAAAATTTATATAACTTGATCAATACTTAACGAAAGTTAAGTTGGGTATATCCAAGTGGAAAAAAAGACAAGTAACTAAACGTACTTGATTATTTATTAACTAAAGTTAAGCAATGTATTTAGAGGATATATTTTGAAAAGGTGTGCATTTCCAAGTAGAAACGAAGACTATTTCCTTTTTATTGGTACATAAAACTTTTTTTAAATTTAATTTCCATTTATCTCATATAACTAAAAGTACTTGATCAACAATTAACAAAAGTTAAGCAACGAATTTAGAGGATATATTTTGAAACGGTGCGCATTTTCAAATAGAAACGAAGACGATTTACTTAACACTTAACAAATTAACACATTTAACAAAATCTCAAGGTCTGTAGTCTCTAAAAAGACCTAAGAAATATATATTATAAAAAATATTTTTTTCTTTAATACATTTTCAATTCGTAATTGGATTTTCTTTCTATAGAAAACAAATCTATTTATATGATTCTATTTATAAATTAGTAATTGTAAATAAAAATCGTTTCTTAGAATATTATATAAATCTTAGTTTACTTTGAGAATAGCAAGTATCAAATTAAACATGAAATTATTTTTACTTTTATTTAATAAACAACTCTAATACACAATAAGAATCAATTACAAGCAGAAGCAAAGATGTCTCAGTTTTTCATTAAAATATGCTTTAAATATTTAGCGAATGATTCATAAATGGAACTAAGTGACATAAAACAATGCACGTTTCTTAGTATATGCTCAAGCCAACTATTTTAGCGATAAGTAATGTTTACTTATTGCATATTTATCTGAGACAAGATTTCTTTTAATGTGTGATTCAATCTAATATTCATTAAACGTTTCTTTGAATTCATGAACTCTAAGAAATATGTTAAATTCTATTTCAGAGTAAAGATTGAAAGCCTTGGTAAAATCGTCTATAGTAATTTCATTGTAAGAATATAAAAAAATAGCAATATTTTTTTCATTAATCAAATATTTAGATTTTGTTTCTTAGAAATATTTATTATTTGTAAAAATTATAATTTCTTAAGTTCAATTTGCAAGGTGCTTTAACAGTCTTTGTTGTATTCGAATTTATCCAGTTAACGATACATTACTTTAATGGATTCTCAGAAACATGAGACAAGTAATCTTCTAGTCTGTCTCCATGGAAATTTAAACTTATTGACGTTTTCCGTTGCTATGTAAGAAAATTTTGTTTATTTCTAACCAATCTTTAAAATTTAAAAACCTTAAAGACTCTAAAATACTTTTTTTTGCAAAACATTTAATTTAAAAAATTAGTATTGATCATGAATCCACAATTTGTTTACTTACTTGTTTTTAAAGTTTAAGTTATATTCTTAAAATGATTTTGTAGATAATATTTCTTACTTTTGTAATCTATTGTATTTGCAGTTAGATAAAAGTTTATTTCAAAAGATGTAGGAATTTGTAGGAAATGCAAGCACTTAAACTTGGGGAATACCGTCGAGTTCCATTATGTTTACAACTGCAAATAGTTGTTACTAATATTTAAACTAGATAAAACAAAAACTTTGTGTTTTCTCGTAAACCTAAATATTGGATTAATAATAAGTCCAGATTGTTTGAATTTATTTTTATTTTGATGAATGAAAATTTTAGTAAATGAAACCGTACTATGCGAGGTATTGCTGTATATACAAAGCGTATTGATTATTTTATTAATCAGCAAAAAGATATCATTTGCTCTTCGGTTTGTTGATTTAATTACGTTGCTAAGCGCATTTTTGGTTCGATGACTTCTTCGAATGCGTTATTCTTCAGGTGAGTCATTATTTCCAACACTGGTTCGAACCTGTCCAAAAAATTTGGGATTCTGAACATATGGTATAGGTAGATACCGAAGTTCAGCTTTTGTTTTTGTTAAAGGTTCGTTTCGGTGCGGCGCGTTTCAACTATCTATTGACAAAACAAAAGGCGATTGCGCAACGTTTGATTACCAACCGGAGAAAGCCAGCATTTCGGATTATTTACCGTATTTTCGAAGTTAACTCTCATTAGCGGCGCTCTTTCTATCCGTCAGTTCGCCTCGCCCGAAGCGAAGCAGAAAGAGAAAAAAACATTTCCAACAACAATAACGAGTTACGTAATCTGATGGTTTGTTGCTTCGTTGTCCCATTATTTTATCGCAGTTTTCGATTTGCATACGCGCGTAATTAAACGCAGATACTGCCAAGGCCCATCCGATTAGCTTCCCAATGAATGGCGACTCACCTGATTTAAGTCGACTTAAGTGCTGAACGGGTTTTCTTCGGACGGTGAAGAGCTGAAGACCACTGCAGAAATGGACACTTGCTGTGGTATTCGATCGACGATCCTCTTATCATTACTCGGGTTAGGAACACCAGGTGAAGCAGCAGCACCACAAGCACCAACGATTCGTTCTTTTGATAACAGTTTTTCGATAATCCACTCCAGCGGTGACTTCACGGATGGTTCACGATCGCGTTTCACACTGGACGACCACCATACATGGTACTCGCTCGACGAACCAATGCAGCCAGTCTACATGACTCACTTCCATACCAGTTGTATACTTGTGGGGACCCACACCACAGGATCCAAGTTGGTCGTGGTGGGAGGTTCAGTCCATGTACCTGGTTACAAGGTTTCCTCCATTGGTCACTTGCGGTTTTTACACGCACCGGGCTCACTTACGGTACTTCTCATATTAACTAACGAAAAGAAATTGAAGAAGAAAAAAAAAGAACAAACCGGAAACATTGACCAACAACAAACAACATTGGTACCTGCAATACTTCCCTTCGACTTTGTCACTTTTCACAATCGCACGCAACTAATAATAAAAAAAATAAGTATTGAATCAATCGGAAACTTGCTATCGCATTGCTATTGATCGGTCCAGATTTTTCGGGTTTACGTTGGAATCAGCGATTAAAAATTGTACGCGGATTCGTCATTTCACTGGAAACACACAGTATTGATTCATTTCCTCAAGGTTGTCTGATTCTACATGCCGCTTGCTACTGCATATCATTATTTCATAATACGAACCGAAACCAGTTTGTTTTTATCAGTTCTTCAAAGTGTCGCGAATCGAGGTGGAAAAATGAAACCCCAATGAAAACTAATATAATATTCTCAGTCCATGCGCAACTCTAATTACCTTAACTGCTGACGCTGTATCGCGTGAAATGGACGTGTTTCTGTCTCTTTCTTTTTAGAGCTGATTCTATTAATAAGACATTTTCCTTCATTAATAATTGATCCGTTTTCCAGAATCGATGAATCGAGTATTTCCATAATCCAATTTCAGCGTCTTAAACAGTACTTGACAGATCAATTGACATTTAATCATTATTTGTCATCTTATTGTTTCTATGGTTATAATCAACAAATCTATCATTTTTTATTTATCCTAAGCATACTAATTTATATTTATTTTTTTAATTATAAAAGGTGTCCCAAGATTAACACAAGATTTGAATTTGCCGCAAAATTTGTTGGCAACCACAAAAAAAAATCACAATCTGAAGACTAAAGACTGTATTTTCTATTTAATTCAAATCAATTTTATCTTGATGCAAATTCCGATTTTCCGATTTTTTAAATTCATTAAGAAGAATGATTCTATTGGTTTTCTTTGGTTCATGAATATGGAAACAGAGCAGCAGCAGAAAGACATTTTGCTCCACCACCAACAGAGAAAATGGTTCGAAAATGGAAAAAACAAGAGGAACAATTGAAACTGCTAAGTAAAGACAAGAAAAATAATTTATTTGGGTGCGTCTTATGGTCCGAAAGTAAAATTAAATTATTGTTTTAATAAAAGGTCTCTACATTTGAGGTGCGTCTTATAGTTCGAAAAATAGGTATTTATTCGATACTTTGACAGTAATATCTCAAATAATCCTACGAAACTTATTAGTACTAATAACGTTACTCATTAGATTTTGTGTAACTAACTAATTTTTTATTGACAACCTTTTGACAGTTGCCCTTAGTAACTTCCAAATGATTTATTTTGTAATTGTTAAAAATTCAATTCGTATTAAAGTTTTCAAATTATTTCCAAGTTTCTGAGTCATTAATTGTATTAAATTGAAATTTTGTAAGTTTATTAAACTGAAATTGACATTAATGAGTTTCAATTATTTATTGATAAAACAAAGGCGATGATTAACACAACAAAATAATAAACATTTCTTCGAAGTTTGTTTATATTTTTGGTTCATTGACTTCTCGATTTGTTATATTACAATATACTACGAATGAGTCATTAATGCAATTCAATGCATATTAATTAAATCTATAAGTTGAAGTATAATTTGTGAATATTTCGATAATTATGTAATCAAATAAATTGTTAAAGTATTAACATATTTGACAGTCTGTCAATGACAAATTTGATTTGACAGATCAACTAATATTTAATGATTTTGTTTCTATGGTTATAAACTATAAATCTGCCATTTTTGTTTTGTCCTAAGCATTTGTACGTTTACTTTTGTTTGTATTTACAGTGGAACCTCGCATAACGATCATTTCGCTTAACGAGCAAAAATGAGTCGTTTAACGAGCAAAAATGACTCGTTTAACGAGCGACGTTTCGCATGACGAGTGACGATGACAAGAGAAGTCCCGGATTGCGCGACTTCTACATCATTTTTAACACATATTATGGGTATTTTTGAATATGTTTCACTATACGAATATTTCGTTAAGCGAGGTTCCACTGTATATCGAAATAAAAGTGTCACTTCGATACAAAATGAAAAGTTTAAAAAAATAATATTTGTATATTGATAAAAATAAGTGCAAATTGAGTAATTTAATAAAAATACAGAAATTGCATTGAAAACAAATATTGAATTTTTTGATTTAGTTCAATTGATTGAAAAAAATATTTTGTTTTTATTAATCATAATCTAAATCAGTGATTCTCAAACTTTTTGGGCATAAAAAGTTTCTGCGACATCCCGAAGAATGAGTAGGTGTGGAAATACAACTAGGATTGATCTGTCATTAATTTTTTGTTACCATTTTACGCGACCCACACTTTGAGAATCACTGATCTAAATCTATGTTTGTATAGACCAGTGGTCGGCAAAGTGCGGCTCCGCATGTGGCTTTTTGGCTCCTTAAGTGCGGCTCTGACACAAATATTTATTAAGTATGAAATTTAGTTTTATTTAGTGTAATAAAAGTTTAATAAACAAGCAAATTTTGTTTAAAATTGTTGTAATGTTCATATTTGGCTTTTTGGATAATAAATTTTCCGACCACTGGTATAGACTAAGAATAAAAATTAGTTTAAAGGTAGTTAAATTTCCATTTTTTACGTATTTTTGTTTTGATTAAATAATTTAAATGGAAAAATATTATTTCTTGTCCACAAACGCATTTAAAAATATTAATTAATATACAAACTCATTGTTAATAAATACAACATTTTGATAACAACTGAAAGTAATTTAGATATGAGGCAAAACATAAATACATTTAACCGATAAAATATTGACATACGATAAGTTTCGCAATCTATACGCTCTCTATATGTTGTTGCTTTTTGTAACAATATATTATAACGGTGTATCATAATTTCATGCGATCAACTTCTTTGTCCGCTAATCATAAAAACGCATTCATCAAACTGCATAGAAGTAGGTTTCGCATGATAAATAATACCGAAGATTTCCAATAGATTTTTTTTCTTTCTATTATCGCAGAGAAACTAAACGCAATCAATTTCAAACGTCGTCGATTTCTTTCCGTTGCTCACAATGCGCGTATATGTGTATAAATAGGATACATTTTAAAGTGTGTCATCGACTATCTGGAATACTGTAAATGTCCATCGTTATTCTTTGCATAACATTGCGTTTAAGTCAGGCTTATTACTGATTCAATACGAATGTTGCCGTAGACAATCAAGCTACACCACCAGTCTATAGACATTAGCTTAACAATAAGTTTTTATTAATTTCGATACGAGGAAAACCGCTCATTTCCTTTCAGCTTAAGGCATATAAATTACGTATTGGAGACGTGCTCTTTACGTAACGCCTAAATCGGATGGAAATGCTTGTTGTTTCGTTCCGTATTTGTACGTTTGGTTTTAGGAAATGTTAAAATTATAATCAATTATATAACATAGAAATTAATTTGAAACATTGTATTTTTATTCCATAGCTCAATGTAATAAATTCATTTTAAACTATAAACTTAACTTTAATATCACATTGAATTAATTCAAATTAGAATTCATGAAGTATTTTATTAAAAGTAATACAGTAAACTTGATATTAACAACTTATTAAATTCTAAATTAATTATATTGGGTGAAGTAAAAAGTTCTGAGCGTTTTGTCCCATACTTTTAGCTTCTTCGTGAGACCAGCCTTGTGCAAATGTTCCGAACGGTTTTCTGGATAATCTTTAGTTCCTGGACAATGGAATAAATGCTCACTTGCAGGTCCAACTCGACGATTTCCATGATTTTAACAACATTTTCGACGATTGGTCTACCAGAAATGTCTCATCTTCGACGTCCATATTACCAGAACTGAAGCGTTGGAACCAACGCTTTACTGTTGCATTAGATGCTGTATTGGGTCCATAAACAACACAAATATTTTTAGCCGCCTGCTCTGCTTTTCTCCTTAGTCGTAGTGGTACAGAAAAATATATCGATTTTTTCATTTTTTTACCTCCATTTTGGAACGCTCTAACATTTCTTAAAGCGTTTAAATAGCAGTATAGAATGATAAGATGTAACGTCACGATGTATACGTTGCATCGTAGGATATTGCTCACTAAAGCCATGTAACGAAAAACGCTCGGAACTTTTTACTTCACCTATTAATTAATATATTAATATTTCTAAAATATGTGTCTTGAAATTTTACTTTAGGAGTTGAATCAATAAATTCTTGTAATTTAAAATTCATTTAAAAGAATTGCGAGTGAATTTGTAAAAAAAAAATAATTGAATAAAATCTGAAATTGTAGATGTTTTAAATTAAATTGTTGAAGGCAGATGCATAAGAAAAAAAGTAAACGAAACTGAAATTGGTGCGGCAACAACAGAAAATATAGTTAATATCGTCGTAAAAGTGGAAGATTTTTTTTTGCATTCAATTTAATAATAATAAAGTGAGACTTGGAGTGAACAGCTCTGAACCAGTTTTTTTTTTCGTGATTTCTCTTTTAGTCTCGTGGCAATTTACGATTTCATACCTGAAAACAACGGCGACAGCAGAAAAAGAACCTCATCCGAATAATAATAATAAAAGAAATAATCTTATTATACGTCTTCACCTGTCCGATATTTCTTCTTTTTTCTTTACTTTGCACTGGATTTTCTCTTTTCGACGCATTTTTCTTTTCTTTTCGTTCCTTTATAATTTTTATTGCGCTATCAGCATTATCTAGATTTGTGTTTCAGACGACGAATATCGAGGTTAACCGTTCCAATTCGCTCTTCTTCTGCGGTTATTTATGCAGTGTGAGTGGATTTTCCAAGATTCTATTTGAAGATAATTTTCATTTTTGTTTTGTGATAATTACGAAACAACAATTTAAAATCAAATGTGTTCTTCTGTAATTTTCAGGAACTATCAAAATGCTACAATTGTTTCAGAGGGCTCATTCGAAATATAACCGTCTCCAGGTTACGATTCTTGTTGAATTATGTAATTATCCTGCGTTGGCATCCTGAAATTTGATATCTCGTAGCAGATGAACTGATGACAAATCTGTGTCGTTAGAAAAGTGACACTTTCAGCTTTAATTTGAGTATAAGGTGATGAAATTATGTGTAGCGGTTCTCGATTAATTCACTAAAAACTGAAGACATGAAAAACACGTTGGATCGCAACGTACGTTATGCAACGAGTTGCGTAACGCTTACCTGATTATGTTATAAAATCATAAAAAAGTTTACTAGTTATTAACGAAAAACCTTTTTTTTTTCAATCAAACTGATTTTCACAAAATCCAATTTGACAATTGGACAAAATTTTCGGTAATTTTCAGATGCTAGAGAATCGTTCCATATTGCTCATTCAAAAGGTGGCAGTCTAAAAAGTATGTTTCATGTCGAATTACGTAAATATACTGCGTGGTTATCCTGAAAAACTACGTCAATTTTGACAGCTCGTATCAGAAAGCTGTCAGTGAGTTCGTTGGAAAGGCGAGACTTCCAGCTTTAATTTAAATATAAGGTGATGGAATTATCTTTAGCAGTTCTCGAATAATTAACTAAAAACTGAAGACATCAAAAAGTCGGAAAGGTGAGACATTCATCTTTCATAAGAGTGATCGATGATGTAATTATCTTAAGGGGTTGTTGAGAAATTCACGAAAAACTATAGACTTTGTCAAAAAAAAACGTCGTTTCTCTGTTTTTTCAATTTCTACATCTCATAGCAGGCGACTACATGACAACACGAAGGCTCGTTGGAAAGGTGAGACATTCAGCTTTCATAAGAGTGGTCGATGATGTCATTATCTTAAGGAATTGTCTAGAAATTCACTGAAAAAATCGAAAAAACGTCATTTCTCTGTTACGTAACTTTTGTTACAATAAAAAGTTGCGCAACGTTTGCGTGCATCTGATTGTGCAATAAAATCTTAAAAAGTTTATTACTTTTCGAGTTATTAACGAAAATCCTTTTTTTTTTGGTAAATCCAATTCAATTCTACAGCTCATAGCAGGCGACTCGGCGACAGTACGAAGATGCANACTAAATAATGAATGGTTTTTCTCATGTTTTGTTATGTTATATTACAAAAACAACAAAGTGTTCCGTGAAAATTTCAGGATTTACGAAGTGTTCCGTTGCAGCAAAAAATTGGGAAACCCTGCTACATAGCATTATTCCTATTGAATTACATAACTATCATGTGTGGTTGTCTTGAAAATAATGTGGTGGCATTTTCAGAAACGTCACTTTTGACAGCTCGTAGCAGACGAACGTATGACAACAGAAAGCTGTCAGTGGGCTCGTTGAAAAGGTGAGACTTTCAGCTTTCTTTTCAGTATTATTATATTTTGTAATCTGGTTAGATTGAAGATTTAGAATGTTGTTTTTTAAATATTGTTTGTTGTTGTCTTATATTCGAAGTGTTCGTCGAGGTCGAACAGTGTCTGTTCTTATGGTGATCTCTCTTTGTCGGATGGATTGCGTCCTGAATAGCGATTATCGAGTCCTTTAAAGAAAAGCAAATTCACACTTGGCAGGAGAGAGGCGTTGGCATCGTCAATTATCCTATTCAGTAGCTATTGTGGTCTCAATTGCGATGGATGGAACGCGCTAAAAAGGACGTCAGAAACGCCACGCCGCACGACGAAACTTCCTTTTGTTACGCACACGTGTTAGTTCCATCGTGGTCCGTCGACCCACGAAATCGGAACGGAAGGTTTATTAGATGCGCCAGTCGCCGTGGAAAAGCTCTCTCAACCAGTTTTGGAAAAGCGCAGCATCAGTCGCTTCCTAGTTTTCTACACACTCATTCTTTACTAGAGTTGTCTCTCTGTAATTCTCGCTTCAATCTAATTGGAATCATTAGAGTGTGCGCATGTGTGATCTTATCTCGCCTTTATTTTACACTTTTGTTTTGTTATTGTTGTCGCAACCGTCACAGGTAGTTTGAGATTTGCTTTTGGAGAGTTTAGAGGAAAAGTAACAGATGATGTCGTTGAGAACTCTGTTCCATCTGGCAGCGTTCGCTCACGACGCCTTCAGTTTTTGGTATGATTACACCTACGTCAATCTCAGGCATCTGTCGACCAAACCCGACATCGAATTTGCGCGGGGCAAACTCAAGTACCTGACCGTCTGGAATTTGGTGAGTGAATGCCTTTATTTCTTATCTTTATTTATTTTATTTATTCTCTTTACTTTTATAACCTTGACCAAAAACACCCGGATCGATTTCGTTTGAGAATGCTCCTACATTCCTTCATTGTACATCAACAATTAATTAATTACTTATATTTTCGACAATTTCGAGCATTTTAAACCCATCTTCATTACTTTCGATTACAGAAATTCGTTATTATAAATCCAACGAAAATACTCTAAAATTACCTTCAGCAAGTCGGGTTGCCTACATTCACACACTAAGAATTTGAATAACACAACTTATTTCACAGAACAAACATTACATAACATTTTATAATAATTATATTTACCTATTTGATATTATAATTCGTACATAATGGGAATATTCCATTAATTGTAAATTATTTAATTACTTAATAAAAAAAATAAATAAAAGTGATTACAATTCTCTTACATTGTGTTTTCATTCAATTCACAATTAGTCAACAAAACTTTACTATCTAATAAGTTATGTCCATATAAGCGTATACACCTTAATTTAGGAGTATTTACCTTTAAATTATGGCAATTAAAGTAAGCAAACGAAAGAAAAACCATCAGAGTTTTACATCTCAATATCTTTAACATTGTTAAATCTTTTTTGTTGTTGTTACTGTTACTGTTGTTGTTAATTAGTCACAATTTTTTCCACATACACGTAATAGAAAAATGACGTTTCATATGAGTAATAAAACGTAATATTTTATTTGCAAATGATGAAATATATGAATTATTTGTGAAAATCTCTTTGAGAATTAATTGAAACATTAACTTTGAGAATGATTTCATTTATAAATAAAATAATACCGATTTTATTTCCACATGAACAAACTACAAGAAATTAATATCATTTCCTTTCGCTTTGTTTTCTTATTAAACTCTTTGTTGTTGTTGTTGTCATTCTCAGACTCTTTCTTAATAGTAGACACTCAAGGTAATAATAGTACTTAGAAGTACGTGTATTCTAAAATATAAGTTTACAATTGGATAAGAATTTAGAAAAACACAATCTTATCGAGTGTTCTTTATCTATTTGTATTATGCAACCGTATATTTTGGCATCAATATCTTGATAAAGGAACGAAGTTCAAATTATTACATTGTATAATCAAGTGCAAATCAAACAAAATCCAAACAAAGTAGTTTATTCAATAAATATGTATTAAGTAATAATATTAGATTTATTTCTAGTAATATTGAATGATAAAAATGTTTCTTTTTTAATTTTATATATGTCAAATATAAAGTTTTTACTGCTCGAAAATAAATTTACTTTTAATTAAACCTGAGTTTCGTATTACGTTTCACATGATGCAATCGTAGAGTGCGTGTATGTAATTATACCACGTGACCAATGTCATAATTACATAAATATTCGAATTGTTGCAAGTTTCTTATTAATTACTATTAATATTGTTTTGTATACCTGAAAATTATCGTCTTTCTTATTAATGTTCACAATATATTTGATCTTGCAAACTAACATTCAATTTGTTAATGCTTGTAATTTGAAACGAGGTAAATATTTGATTACTTTGTCATATTGAGAACGAAATTTGATACACTTTACGTTCAATACAAAATAAGCATTGTCTTACAATCATCAAATAGACTTACGATAATTGGACTTTTTTGTTGACTTAATAGAAAAGTTGATCAATGCGAATGGAATTAATATATTTTTTTTATTCAGTTTATACCTTGGATATTGATCTAAAGAAGAGCTATAGTCTCATTTTTTCTTACAATTTAAAAGAAATGTTGAATGGAAAATGTTAATTTATATTGTTTAACTCAAAAAAATAATTGGATATTGATTTACAGAAGTTCTGTAGTCTCTTTCAGTTGAAAATTTCAAATTGAAATTTTATTGTAAAACTTTAATAGAAAATTTGACGAATGCAAATGAGAATGGAAAATGTTAATTTATATTGTTTAATTCCAAAAAAAGCAATTGTAATTAATTATCTATTAATTACAGTTTACAATGTATTCGTTATCACGACTAAGTTGTACAAATTGAAACAGGTTTGTTGATTAGGTAATTAAAGTGTAACCTTCCATGTTGGTTGCATAACTTATCTCAATGGAAGTTTAGAGTAGCTACGGTAGATGTCGCTTTAGCAGCCTCTCAGTGTAACAGATGAAAATTTTCGACGTCCAAAAACCTATTGATCGCTAAATTTTTTAAGATCATACTTCACAGGATCATTTCTGTAGTGTATCTTCACAACACATATCACAAATGTGACATGTATACAAACCACGATGACGAGTCGTAGTTCTGCTATCTGAGCGTGAGGCAGAAGCTCTGGATTCTTACGAATCTGGATCTTCATCGATGACCGTTCGCTTTACTTCTTCGGAAGTATAGTGAAGGATAGTGGAACATTCTGAGTGGCTTTTTTTATTTAAATTTAAAAATAATTACTCCTCTACTTTTGAGGAATTTTTATACATAAATCAAATTGGAATCAAGAGAATTACTAATTAATGGAAGAAAAATGTTAATATTGTATTAATTGTAAAAGGATAATTAATTAGATTATAGTTTCAATAAATTAACAACTATAATTACAAAATATAAACAAGTAGTTCAAATGATCACAATAGATTGAAATGGCATTATAGCTCATTTAATAGGTCTAAAATATGTACCAACTTAAATATTATGTCACCAAATTTAGTTTCTTTGATTGCTGTCGTAAATGAAAGCAGTTATATAACAAAATCATCTTATTTTTTAGCCAAAATTTCAAATATTTCTCTGACAATATTAATAACTTTAATTAACTAGTTTACGCCCTAAACTAAATATTTTTTAAGTCATTGTATGAAGTAATGTTGGCACGAACAACAATCGCCATCTGTTTTCTACTGAGGTGCAATTACCATTGACATTTTCAAATATCAACGATTATTTGAAAACGCGACGAGGATAAATAAGCAAAGCGAATACAAATTTTGTACACGAAGTTACCTTGCTGATTCATCACTGGTCATAGTCGATGGGGGAAGAAAGAACGGTATTACGTCACGCAAGAGAAAAATCCTCCCCTAGGGAAGGACGACGGTAGCGTCGCGTACTAAATTTTGGCGTCGGCGTAGCTTTTCTGACATTTACATCAAACCAGTGTTTTACATACAGTTTTGATATTAGCAATATACTTTTCTTCTATTTTTTGTAAACTTTACTAATCATCTACAATTACTAAAGTCGCAATTGCTGAAGTAGTGAGGTTTTGAATCGCGTGCTGTGTATTCATGAAAAAGTGGAGATAGGCTCTAGTTGTTGATGATCGTGATGTGCGATTATTAATAAAATGCGGAGGGGCAGGACGTCGGCGGCGATGGATGTGCGGCTCTGTTTTCGGGGCTTGCGGCGCATCACGCAGCAATAACAGTCAGGTTCGGACCAATCCCAGAGAATCGTCGGGATTCGTTTGGCAGTCGTCGTTCGCGTTCCTCGCTGCTACGAAACAATAAAAACTAAACTTTTGTGATCAAAACATTCGACGACCTAAGAAGCTATCCGATAGCTTTGATACAATTTGTGCAAAGATTTTTGAAAATGCTGCGACCGGCTTTCCATCTGATTGCCGCCCTCCACTTCTGGTTTAGTGCTTACTATGACTGGTTCTACGTTAACGTCCCCGTCCACGTTCATCCCATGGGGAAAGCATTCGGAAACACCAACAAACTCAAGTTTTTGACCTACTGGGATGAGGTTCGATATTTTTTTTATCCTGTCTTTAACCTTAATCTCATATAACTTAACACACAAATTATTTTTTTTATTAATAATTACTTAAACTTCAAAGATATCCTAATCCAATATTATTGATTAAACCATTAATATTTAAAATAATTTCTCTTGAACTTTGAACTCAGAGGACGCCTATACTTCAGAAGCTTTTTATTAGATTAGTAATAATAATCAATTAAACCAAGTTGCTAATTAACTTACAAATACAATTATAAGCTATAATTAACATTAATTTTAATTAGTTTTTCAGAATTATACCAGCTACTTCAAAAGTCCAATATACTTAAGTCTTAACTACTTACTTTTATTTAGGACGAATATTAAACGGTTATAATAAAAACCGTACACAGATTGTCATAATTTACTAATACTTTACAATTGAATGCGTAATTTTTTTCATTAAAATTTATATAAAATATTAAGAAATTTTATAAAGTTATACAGATTTTCAAAATTTACTAATATTTTTATTTTTCGTTATTTGTTCATTAGAAAACAAGAATTGAAAGTTTCATAATATTTAGTGTAATCCTTTTAAACTAATTTATCATGCTTTATATTTGTAATAAACAAGTTTACAAAACGATTATTCGTTGCATTCGAAACGATCAAATCAATTATTAATGACTGATGGTATTGAGTAATGTACTTTGATCTTTCATTTGCGGTTTATAAACGGAATTGATAGTATTACAAGAAATGAGACATAATATTTAATTTGCGGCAAGTTTTCCAATCTAAATCAATAAAAATATGCATTATTTAACCATTCTACCAACTTAGACTAAATGGACTCTAGAATATTCGTTTAAAGTTTCTTGTTAATTAGAAGTGAAAACTAGTATTAAATATTTAATCTAAACAATTATATAAGATATAATTTGAGAAAATTATTTGTATTTGTCCAATTAGAACAGAAAACTTCCAATAAATGCTATAATGTATGTATTTAAGTTTTCTAACTGAATAGTGAATTGAGTACAAATACGTTTTATTAAACGTTTGTATAAATCGAAGTAGAATGATTTGTAAAGAGAACTCTTGAATAATTAATTTAGAATAATTATTGCTTCAATGTGCTTTTAACAAAATATTCATTATTTTGAAGAAAAGCAAATCAATTTTATAATTTAAAAAAATTCTACTGTATTTGTAATTATTACTAATAATTTTTAGAAACTACTTTCACTTAAATTTGTTTTTTTTTATATTAACGAGCAAAATGGATTGTAAGAAAAATGACTCGTTTAACGAGCGACGTTTCGCATAACGAGTGACGATGAGAAGTCCCGGATTGCGCGCCTTCTACATCATTTTTAAAACTTGTGTACACATATTATATTATATTTTTGAAAATGTTTCATTATACGAGTATTTCTACTGTATTTGTTAATGAATGTAGCTATTATCATTGATTCTTCATTTATAAAAATACCAGTTATTGAATAAGTAACGATCTATATTATTTATTCAAGACAAATCGATGAAACTCTGCGCGAACTGTATTTTTGTATATAAACTTTTTTTTGTATTTTTCCATTTGAAAATGTAACAATTGCACACTGTGGTTAAAGAACGTTAACTGCTGTAATCAACGACGAAGGTCACTTTGTGATAAACCGTTTTATCACAGCTGGAATGTCAAAGGGGGTCAATCGCACATAACTTGCACATATGGAATTGTATTATTGGACGTTTCGAAGTTTGCTTATTCTATCGTAAACAAAATACGTTGACTTGCAAATAAATAAATAAAGTTTTTCATTTTGCTTTTGTCGATAATATTTTAACCACGATTTTAATATATAAATGAAACATTTCTATTTAACATACTGTGAAGCACAATTATGCCAATAGACCAATTAAAGTTTCTAATTTATTATTGTAGACTTATTTGAAAATGTTCCTAATTTGCATATTTAAGTAAAATAATGGTAAAACAATACTTTAAATCAGCGTTTCTCAACCTATTGGATCGCAAAATTATAGTTCAGACATTGCGTCAAAGTTTAAAAAAAAAATATGTTGGGAAACGACGTTTTAACACGTTGACGACGCCATGACCCACCAGTGGGTCATAGTTTATTCCCTATGCACGCCACTGATTTTGACTAAGTATAACCTCAAATATGTTACGTCAAATACAAACTTTACACGCCAATACATGTTTTAATCATTCTTGAAGCAATTGTGATATTGTGACGTAATTTACGCATACTTTAACGTAAGATATTTGACGTCTTTAACGTTTTAAATTATTATTTGTGGACAATGTCACGAAATACAAAACTAAATTAAAGATTTTTTTTGTAAATAAAATATTTGTGTAGCTTCAATTTCACAACGTGATTGATTGTGCCTGTGTAAACTTTAGAAAGTCGCAATGAAATCAGATCTTTCCGCAAATCGGAATTGCGTAATCCGAGACGAATTTCCAATCGATGTTTGTTTTGTTTTAGCTTCAGTTTTGTTTTTGTTTTGTTTTCCATTGCTGCATCTGATGTTATGTCATCAATTGTACTTGCATATTTATGAATCATCGCAATGAATGTTGCTGCATCCGCGAGGCGCATGGAAAAATTTACGTTTTCTTATTTGCAATCTTACTCGATGCATTCGCATTACAATTCACGTTTAGTAAGGCAAATTGCTGCGAATAGTGAAACACACAACCTTCACACTAATCGCCAGGACATGTTTCATGCGTTCGTCAATTAATGCCTTAATCAACAATTAAGAAACAGGTGTTTTTTTTTATATCAATATATTTACTCGATGAAATAAGTGTTAAATATTTTATTTGATAGCGACACTATTTTTATCACTACATTAATTACTTGACATATAAACAATTGTTTCATTTAATAATGAGTTTCTATAGAAATAACGTTTGTTTAAAATTTTAAACAAGTTTTATAAAGTTATTACTGCTATATTTCAATCACAGATGTCGCTATTGTCTTTTATTAATAATTAACACGTTAAGGAAGGCGCAAATCGGTTTGTCTGCTACTGTCTGTTGCAAACTTTAAAAGCTTAAACTCGCAATTTAATTTTTAAACTATGCCACAATATCACTAAATTACTTCAAGAATGATTACAACATGTATTGGTGTTTAAAGTTTGTTATTGACGTAAATATTTGAGGTTATACTTAGTCAAAATAGAGTTAAGTCAACATGTTATAACTTTACTATAATTCTGGACGTATTTCTATAAAGCACGTAAATTTAGATTAATTAAAGTACAAATTAATTAGTTTTAGCTATATCCATGAAGCATACTTTAACGAGTAATCGTCTCAGATTTGCGAAACTTTAATTAAGATATCTCTTGAACACAATTGCTGAAGAGGATGGGGTGAGAGACAATTTCGCCTTCCCAAATCCCGCAGGGTTTTACTCGCTTCATCAACTCGATTAATCCATCCCGGAGTGCTTCGGTAATTACATATGCAACCCGCAGAATTCAATTATAGCTTCAATTGCTGCTGGCATTTAAATTCTTCTAAAAATATTCTACTTAATCGATTTCAATCTGAATTATGTATAAGCTGTGGTGCATCAGACAAATAATCATTTTCATTTTACTCCCTATTATTTGCTCATTCGCATTTATGGATCCGACTGTCCAGGGTCGGACTGGATATTATATATTTGAGTATTGATTTTGCATTCGTTTCGAACGGTCAAAATACAACAGACGACGTTCCACTTTGCATATTCATCGTTGTCCATGCGTGAACAGGAGCTCTCTCCACGTTTCCTGCTGTTGTCTCCTTCTCTTCAATTGAATTACATTGAATGCTTTGAATTAAATTCTCTCTAAATTTACTCTTAGTAATTGTAAAATCAGTTTGAAAATATTTTTTATTAAATTTCTAAAATTTTAACTTGCCAAATTCGATTCTATAAAGATATTTTCTTTCTTTTAAATTGTTAAATAAAACATTTGTTAATAGAGAAAAAGCGCTGCAAACAAACAAATATTGATTTCATAAATCATTTATTAATGTTGTTTCTGTTGTAAATGTTTCCATTAAATTCTACTTATCTTATCTGTGCTGTTGTTTTTGTTTATACTTATTTGTTTTATTTTTAGTACGGTCCACTTCTTAATTAAGATGTATAAAAATACGAAATGAATTTGTTGATAAACTGCAATCAAAATAAACCTCTTATATTTAGATTGTTCTTATCGCGTCGGCTTTACGAAATTCGAGATAATTTTATGAATTATAAATAGGATGTGTCTGGGGGAATGCAGACGTCATATCATGTTTATTTCATTCATTACATAATGTAAATTAATGCTAAATTTGTATCTTAAAAGCAGAAATGAAATTTCAGTAAAAGTATAAAAAATTGGTGATTTTATCAACTTAATTTATGGATTATGTGTAGTAAATTAATTAATTTGATAAAGAATTAAATTAATGCTGTTTTGTGTAAAATTTTTAACAATTTAAGTGTGAAAATATATGATTTCACTAAAGAAGAGTTCAAAATTTCATTTCACATTTTGTTAGCAAAAATCTACAGTTAAATATTGAAAATGTGAAATGTAAATATTGAACAATTGAAATGTGAAAATATTTACTAAAAATAAAATTTTAATTTTTGCATTAAAAAATGTGATTCAGTTATTAAAAGAAACTTTTGAAGCTAGCTTGTGTATATTGCTATAAAAATATGACTTTACTCAAAGTTTTGTAGCTTTTCATTCATTAAAAGCAGAAATGAAATATCAGTAAAAGTATAAAAAATTGGTGATTTTATCAACTTAATTTATGGATTATTTCTAGTAAATTAATTAATTTGATAAACAATTAAAAGAATTAAATTAATGCTGTTTTTGTGTAAAAATTTTAACAATTTAAGTTTGAAAATATATGATTTCACTAAAGAAGAGTTCAAAATTTCATTTCACAGTTTGTTAGTAAAAATCTACAGTTAAATATTAACAATTGAAGTGTGAAAATATTTACTAAAAATAAAATTTTAATTTTTGCATTAAAAAATGTGATTCAATTATTAAAAAAAAAACTTTTGAAGCTAGCTTGTGTATAATGCTTTAAAAATATGATTTTACTCAAAGTTATGTAGCTTTTTAAACCGTAAATTGTGAAAGTTGAAAAATGAAGCTTAATGTTTTACCGTGTATTTTCATTGTCACACGTAGCACAAATATAAATTAATACTCAAATTAAAAATAAATATTCAGGCTTTCTAATGAGTCTTTACAGAGATTTGTAACTATCGCAGTTTGTTTGTAATCGATTATCAAAGTTGCTTTAAAAATATGTTTCTGAGAACGAAGGATTTGTAGTATATTTTGATATGTTGTTGTGTGCTCAGAGATACATAATTGCTATATTTTTAATGATTGGTTTCATTTGAGTTGTTAGGAAATATGCGAATTAACGTCATGTACTTTGCGCATGTAAAATTATAGTGTAAACTCGTTGATACGCAGCAGGCAGGAAATTACATAAGTAGCGGACAATAGCGAGTTCATCAGTGTCAATCTATTCTAATTTGATGATTTCATTTGCAGGTGCTGCAAGCCTTCTTCTTCAGCGTCTGTTTCTTGAACGACATCCTCGGCTGCAAGCAGAAGACGAAAGGACATGAGGGCTGTTTGCAAAAGTTCAAGGATTACGTGAGTAATCTGCAATAATGCATTGATCGTCCGTTGCTTTAACATCTTTACTTTTAGCTGCAAACATGCTTGGCCTTCCCCATTTCCTTCTTCGTCGGCCTCACCTTCTGGGCAATCTACTTCGTGGATAGGGAGCTGGTGTTGCCGCGCGCCGTCGACCAATACTTCCCATGGTGGCTGAACCAATGCGTGCACACCAACATCATGGTCTTCATCCTGATCGAGATGTTCATCTCGCAGGCGAGGTATCCACCCAAGAAGATTGGTTACAGCGTCCTCACCGTCTTCATGCTCGTCTATTTGGTGTGGATACACGTGATCCACGCCTACACAAACATGTGGGTCTACCCCGTCCTCGATGTGCTCAATATGCCGCTTCGTATCGTTTTCTTCCTGTCGCTGCTCGCACTCTCGTTGGCCCTCTACACCGTCGGCGAGAAGTTGAACGGTTGCATCTGGTCGAAGAAGAGGTCCACCAAGTACATCCACCTCACCAACAAGAAGGACTGATGATCGATCGCACTTGCCATGAGTCTCCGTACTCGCGTTGCTGTATAATAAAATTACGTAAATCACGCAAAACAGATTCACAAAACCAACAGATAAATACAAACAAACAAACAATAATGCAAAACAGCAATGCCAAAGCCAAACGTGAAACCATAATTTTATTGCAATTGTAATGATACTAATTATTAATATATTTTTTTATTTAGTACAATTTCAGATGTTTTTTATACATAATATATATAATAGGTAGTGAGTATGCGATGCGTTACGTAACACACGTATTTTATATGACGGTGCACGCTAGTAATTGTTGATGAAAAAAATAAATAAATGAAATAAAGATATTAATAAAAAATTATATTGTTGAATTTAGTTTCCGTTTAATTTAATTAAAATAGTTAATAAATAAACATTTCTACAAACTGTACTGTATTCATTTTGTATTTGTTTCCTTTAAGCATTAAAAATGAGAGAAGTTTTATAGTTTCCTTAAAAATACAACAAGAACAAAAAATGAATTGGAAAGTGCTGAATCCAATACGAAAATCTAAAAAGTATTAATATCTCAAAGATCACTTAACTTGTTATAAGTTTTAATACATCAACAGTTGAGGAATTAAATGCACTTTAATATACACTAATCAAAATTAATGAAGTTTTCATTAATGTTAAAAAATAACGTAAAAAGTATGAATGAAAAATAACGGAAACACAACAATCATTCCATAACTTTTCACAACAATTAACAACAAATAAATAAATAGGATTTCCAAAGACTTTACTCAAAGTTTTATAGTTTTTACGGTTTACCTGTAGTTAATTGTAAAAGTTGAAAAAAAATTGAAGCTTAACGTTTTATCATTGTCACATGTAACACAAATATAAATTAATACTCGAATTAATGATACATATTCAGGCTTTCTAATAAGAAAAAAACGTCTGTTACGTAACGAACATTACGTAATTTTCACAAAAAGTTGCATAACAGTGGCACCCATCTTACGCAATCATGAGAATGCAACAAAAGTTACGTAATTTTCGTGTAATTAGGAAAACCGTGAAAACTCGTCACATCTCAACGAAACAGCGATTGTTAAGAAAATCCTATTCACTTTTGATCCAATTTCTACAGCTCGTATCATGCGACTCGATAAAAGCACAAAGATGCCAATAGTTTCGTTGGAAAGGTGAGTTATTCAGCTTCAAATTGTGTTGTCGATGATCTAATTATCTTAAGGGGTTCTCGAGAAATTCACGAAATACTGAAAAAATAGGAAAAAAACGTCGTTTCTGTGTTAAGTAACGAACATTACGTAAGTTTTGTTACATAACAAGTTGCGCAACTCTTGAGTGCATCTGATTATGCAATAAAATCATAAAAAAGTTTATTACTTTTCGAGTTATTATTGAAAAACTGAAAACATCAATTTTTTGTCAAATTCAATTCACTTTTTTTCCAATTTCTAAAGCTCATAGCAGGCGTTTCGGCGGCAGTACGAAGATTCCAGTAGGCTCATTGGAAAGGTGAGATATTCAGATTTCACACGAGTGGTCGATGATGTAATTATCTTAAGGGGTTAACAAGAAATTTACGAAAAATTGAAAAAAAACGTCGTTTCTCTGTTACGTAACGAACATTACGTAACTTTTGTTACATAACAAGTTTCGCAACGCTTGCGTGCATCTTATTATGCAATAAAATCATAAAAAAGTTTATTATTTTTCGAGTTATTATCGAAAAACTGAAAACATCCAGTTTTTGGCAAATTCAATTTACTTTTTTTCCAATTTCTAAAGCACATAGCAGGCGACTCGGCGGCAGTACGAAGATTCCAGTAGGCTTATTGGAAAAGTGAGACATTCAGCTTTCATACGAGTGGTCGATGATGTAATTATCTTAAGGGGTTCTCCAGAAATTCACGAAATATTGAAAAAAAAAACGTCTTTTCCCTGTTACGAAACGAACATTACGTAACTTTTGTTGATTTTTTCCTATTTCTACAGCTCTTTTGAAAGGTGAGGTAAGATTATTATTACTGCTTTTTAATTAAAGTGCATACTATAGTTGTGAAATGTGCGGAGGGAGAAAATTAATAAAGTTGCAACGTAAAAATGGATTGGGTCATATTGCCAATAGATGTGACGTAAGGGATATTAATGCTAGGCAACCAATTATACAAAAATTAATATACTTTTATTTTTATTTATAAATCAAATAACACAGAATTTCACTAAATTTAAGAAAGAGTTAAATCAAAGGTATAAACACGAGAGGCAACGGATCGCTCGAATTGTTTCGGAACTGCCTATCGAGCATGAGTCATGGTGTTGCTTGTTCCAGGTGTTTCTTATATATATATACACATACACACATATATATGCATATATATATATATACATATTGCACTGAAATAAAGTAAGAGAAAACATCACACCTCGAAGGATAATTAAACTAATAATAATATATTAATAAACTTGAATAGTTCTTACATACACACAGAAAAATAATGTAAATATTCATAGGGTAAGCACAGGAAAGGTTCGTGTCTATCCTCGTTCTTAGATTGGTCTATAGTGAAGCTGAATGTCGTCCGTTAAGAAAATAATTTGAAAAGAAAAAAAAAGTACAGGGTGGTCTACGTTTCTGTGCAAATTCGCGTAAAAATCCGATGTTCACCCTGTATATCTATCACTCTATTCTCAGCAGCGATTGGATGGATTCTAATTGCCGTTCATTAGTTTCGAACATTCCAAATTATATATATATATATGTATGTATATATGTGTATATAGTGTTTAGTTTATATAACTCGTATACAACTAAAGTTAAATTAAATGATGATTACAATCGGTCTCAACAGATGGGGGTGTTGTGCCTAGTCGTTTTTCATTCAAAATATATCAAATTCGACGAAACCAAGAACAATGCAACAAGAATGATGACAAAGAAAAAAAAAACAATAAATTCGCCTGGTGAGATTAATCGTACTTTTTTTTAATCGTTTTCAAAATACAGGAAGGAAGAAAAACAAAAACATCCTTACAATAATAAATTAAAAAGTAAATAAATGAATAGAGGAGTTACCAACTAAACAATATAATATAATAATATGTACAAATACGAAACAGAAGAAAAAAAAAATAATAATATAAACTATCAGTGATAATATATAGGTTGTTTTGTTGTTGTTGTTGTTTTTTTGTGTTATATATATATATATTTATAATTGATTAGTGTGTTGCAAATTTTCACACCTCCCCCAAAAAAATAATCAATCGATTTAATTAATTAAGTTTCTTTTTTTGTTTCGATATAATGTAGATTGGTTGTGTTTTTTTGTTTGTTGCTGTTGTTGTGTTATCATCCCTTATTCTTTTGTTATTGTATATTTTTTTGGTTGGTTGGTAGGTTTGTAGAGGTAGGCAGTGTGTCCAAACAAAAAAAAATAATAAACATAATATAATAATAATGTACTAGCTAAAAGCCCCCCAAAAAAATATCGTATCATTACAAGTCCTAAACGCAATAAAATAATAATTATAAGAATATTACTAATAATAATAATAATAAATCCATCTAAAATAAAGAGAAAGAGACATGTTGTGTTTTTGTTTTTGCTTTTTTCCTCGATTTCATATACACATATATATATATATTATATAATATACATAATTGATTGATGTTCGTTTGTTTCATTTGACAAAAAAAAAATTAATGATAACCTCAACTTTACCGCTTCAAATATATATGTATATAGACTTCGTACCTATAAAATTCGTTAAAAACTAAATTACAAAGGAGTTATAACCGATACATTAAGAATCATCAACCACTATCATCGTCACCTCCGCTCCTAGACACAAGATCTTCGACCAAAAATAAAGAATGGCGGAATTCCAAAAAAATAATAATAACTGCAATAATAAACATATATATATATATACATACATACATATATAAATATCGACGGCGATTGAAAAGAAAAAAAATTGGAGAGTTGTAACAAAATGTATATTTAAAGAAAAAAAATAAACGGCCTAAGGGATAATGTGAAAGAAAGAGAGAGAGAGAAGAATAAACAAAGAGAGAAAAATATAGAAACACCCCAACAATTCACACTCCAAGAATATTTGTATTAATCCGAACACGCTTCATAAAAATCATTGTTTTCTTTTTACTTCGTTTCATCAATTACTTTGTTGTTGCAATATAATATATATAGATATATATGTATATATATATATGTATATATTATTATAGGTTCATTCAAATTTCTATGTATAATATATATATATAATTTTTTTGTTATTATTTATTATTATTTTTTTTGTAATTTTTTGTAGATTTTTTTTTTCATGTTTTATATACTTTGCACTAGTCACTTTCTTTTAATATTTATATTTATATATATATATGTATGTATGTGTGTGTGTGTGTTTGTTTGTTTTTGTTTATATATATTTTTTTTTGTTGTTTTATTATTTCAAGTGTCCGAGCACTGTTTGTATTTTCCTCTCGTTAGAACAAATCAATGTTGTGGGGGGTCCATCGTCGACGCCGCGATGGCATGGCACTAGTGGCGGGGTTCAAATTTTCTGGATCTTCTCTCCGACCACCACGGGGTTGTTGCGCCGGATCTCTTGTGCACCCATCTCCCGGTAGTTAAACGAGCAGTCGTGCTTGTCGCTGTATCGATGCACCGCACAGAACAATCCTCCGCAGCGGCATTCGAATCCTGCAAAACCAGAGAAGAACGACGATCGAAACAACAGAGTTCATGGTGCGAAAACGAATCACGGTTTTTTGATATGATTTGTTCTTTATGATTGTTGTCTTTTCACTTCTTCTTACCTGTCAGTCCAACCTTCTTGCGGCAGACGGCGCAACGGTTCTTCTTCTTCTTGGAGTCCTTGTCGTCTTTGTCCGAATTTTCATTTTCAGGCTGGTCGACACTGCTGCCGGCTGCGGTGGCCGCGCTTTCCTCGGCGATCTGCAAGTATTCCGAACGTAAATTGTTGTGATCTGATTGTGAAACTGCAGCAGCGGTGCTGCAGGTGGTGACTGTATGTACACCGTCGACGTCAGAGCCTGTCAGTTTGGTGGAGCCGTTCGAGACGGCGGTGGCGCTCGACGTCGGCACGGCGTCCACCTTACCAACCGGCGGGATGTGACCCTGTGACATAATCGGGGAATTTTGGTGCGAAACACGGGAATCTTTTTGGGGTCGAAATGTGTCAGCTGTCAGGAGACGCGATGCTTACGCCTTCACGGGTTTATTATCATCACCATCATCAAAATATACTCACGTCTGTGGGCTGGTGTTGTTCGGAGGCGGGTACGATGGGGGCGGGCAGGCATGGTACTGTGGGCTGAGCCGTTTCCATGAATGTGGTCCGCGGGGGCGGAACTGAGCTCACCACGGAGGGGCTTGGGGCTGACACTGGAGGTTGCTGCTTCTTCTTCAGCGCTTCCTAAACGACGACAACCGAACGAACACAAACAGAGTTAGCAAAAGCAAGCACAACAAATTTTCAAACAAAAAAAAAACAACAACATCAATCATCGAACTGACAGAACGTACCTTGAAACAAAGTGAACATAATCCTTCTGTGGCTGGGTTTCCGTAGAATCCGCACCCGGATCGGCAGAGCGCCTGCATCGGGTTGGTCTCTCGCTCCATCTCGCCGTTCTTTCCGCTTTCCTCTTCAGCTTCAGCTGCTCCTCCTTTTCCACCTCGGGCGTCTCTCCTCCACCGCCAATCCCAAACGACGAAAACAGAATCAAACTTCCAACTAGAACCTCGCTCCTTCTATTGCACAAATCCCGCGGCCGTCCGGTGGATGAAGAAACTTGCGTTGCGGTTCAATCTCGAGCTGCTTGTCCGGGGGGAGGCAAGGGATTTTGACTCCCTGTCACAAATTTACGAACACCTGGAAACAGAAATCAGCAGTTGTAGAACAAAAGAAACGCCGCCAGGTGACACATTTAGAAATGATAAGGGGACCATTCACCAATACCCGGAACCCAGCGCCTCCGCCACAATTTAAAATAGAAATAATCAATGCTGTATCATCATATGCAACCAAATTCACACACATCTTTCAGCAAAACTCATTCAATATATTTTCAATTATTACTCATTATATACATCGTTTCGATCAACTATAAAGTAAAACACACTGTTTAAGTCAGTATAAATGAGTCACATTCTAAATGAAACTAAAATGGCCGACCAAGACAAATTACACAAAACTGTCCATCATCAATTTACACCTTTAACGACACAAACATGATTTAAGAAATGTTTGCATCATATCTAAAATCTTATACAATAGATCTAAATCAATTTAAATTCAAAATGAATAGGGTTTGTTTTAATAAAATTAAAAAGTATTTTCTATATACATTTCGCGTATAACCAATTATCGTTGTTAGCATGCGAATTATATGTCCAAAAAATGGACAGTCATCCAAGTCCGTTATGCAACCAAGTACACGCGAAAGCGCAGAAACGGTATACGCCTGGCAGTTGCAGAGTGACTCATCGCGCTCGCAGCATTGATTTTAATTGCATGTCTTTAGATTGAAGCATCATCGAACCAAAAAAAATAATATTTAGAGAATCTTTTGCCACGAAGTTAACCAAGGTTAATGTTTTTGAAAGAAGAAAAAAAAACGAAATTTAGATGCCATTATAATAATCTCAGGACCACTGAGGCAATGGCACTTCCAATGCCAAATATTTGATTTATTCATGAATACTATCGTAAAAGTAGTTAATTTATCCAGCGTATGAGGAAATAAATCGTATAATTTAAACCAATTGACAATACCTTTGAAGAATTATAGAACTGTATGATAATTAATTAATTAACAAACCATGTTGCTTATTGGCAAACACGAAATTAAATTTGTTATGTTTATTTTTATGATTTGTAACGAATTTTTTACTTGGGAAAAAGATTATATTTTAATGTAATGAGACTCGAGTGCACTCTGGGAAATGGTGAGGCTTGGCCGGAAAAGCAAACTATATACTTTATAGATGAAAATTCAGCTAATCCAAGTGAAATGCAATCGTAAGGTCAAAGGGCTTCGGGTCCGAGCAGCATACTCGTTCTTGGAAATAGGGTGTATTGATTAAATTCTAAATCGAAATGCAAACGGCGAACGCGTGGGGTGTGTTGTACTTGGAAACGTTTCTCCTCGATACGCAAATAAATAAAACGATTGCCCGTATAATAATCTACGCTACTGGAAAATTATTGAAATGTGCGACATTTAGCCTTGCGATATGTTATTTGCATTCTCGTGGTAACTCGTGTAGCGTGTGTGTATACTGCTGCGTTTCCGAGAGCCGAGCAGTATTATAGTATTAAACATCATCCATTCGGCGACGGCGCAGCCTGCTTAAAATTACACATCATATACACGTGTGCATTTTTATTTCCACTTATACCAACCGAACTATGTTGTTCAACAACAACATCAGCAGCAACAACGTACTGAGGAATGAGAGATAAATACCGCCTCCGGCCATCGCACATACACCACGCACATCCCACCACCAACAACGTGATTACGATGATGATGATGAGCGTCTCTGGGATAATCAAAGTGCATGCACATGGCCAAAGTACACTTCGCATAAGAAGTAAACCTGCTGCTGCTGCGTGCGTTTTAATTACGGAACGCGCGCAAACAAGATGGAGTTTCTCGTCCGTCGCGTTTATCTTTCGATGATGATTGCATTGGATCCGCAGAAGAAGAGAGAATGAGAAGGAGAGATGAAGACGCAAGGCCGTAATTTTTAGGAATCTGGATCGCCCCAGGACTCAGACCACAAATCACAATCACTTCAGAATTCGCCCTGAGGTTAAACTGAAATAACGGCAGATCCTCGCTGTGATCTATTATTTACTTCTACAGATACTCGTTCTCGAGTTTAGTAAGTACACGTTGCCCAGACTTGTGATGGATGACTTAGGAAATTGAATGACGACTATAAATGGGAATCCGAAAATTAGGACATAAATAATCACACTCGCTGCTAAAGCAATTATTTTCCATATCAAAATAAATTCGAAAATATATTCATTTATATTTAATCAATTTCCTGTAGCAATTAATTAGGTTTATAACTGCTTATAATTACTAAATTGATTCAAGGAAATTGTAAATTAAATTCTGATAGCTATTATTTATACCTAAAACAGACTTGTAAAGTAGCTTGTATTAAGATTACCAGCAATTGCTGCAAGATGAGCGAGTTAAGATTGTAATCGGGAAACAAGGCGCATCGCTTGAATGAAGGTTATAAAATGATGTTTCTTTGTTGTGATGAATTACTTAAGCAGCTCCTGTTTGGTGTTTTGCAAAGAGAACAATCTGCAATGCAAATGATTGCGATGGAAATTGCTTGGAACGAGAACAACGACAGGCCGTAAATACGCATTACGAGGATGAGAAGGAAAAAAATACGTCGCAAAGTAATAAAGTCGTCAGCTGCGCGGAACACATCGAGCAGGAAAACGGCAATTAGCCATTCAAATTAAGACGTTTTTAATTAGCTATATGTGATCCGCAGTACGCGAGGCCACCCCGTATAATAGTAATACGCGGTTTTCCCCAGTGCCACCTGTTGTTCGAACAACAGTTGCAGCACTTCGATGGGTGCCCATGGTACGGATTCCTGGATTCGGTTTCAGGATACGTCTACGATTACTGCATGTGTCTTTTTATAATATATAAATCTCTATCTATTCTTATTTAAAACTTCGTGTTTTTTTCTGTTTTTGGAGAGAGTTGTAATGGCGTGGGCTTTGGTTTTAAGGTCGTTTTTAACACGAAATCGATGCGGTTCGACGGGAAAAAAGGGTCACGGCCTTAATGGCGAGCGGCGCTCACACAAGGACACGGAAAATTAGGTTGCTCGGAGAAGGGAGACAAAACAACAAAAAAAAAACAAAATTGAAAAGAACGTAACTCTGTGATACAGGAAGTGGATGAACGCCAACAAAAAAAAAGGAGAGTAAAACAACGAAAATAAAATTTAAAAAAACATGTATGGTCAAGGTATTGTAGACGGACGTTGAACCCGTTCTGGCGGAGAGCGCTTGCACCCAATGCGGGTTGAATTATTATTCCGAAAGGACGTTCGAACGCGCGGGGGGCGAAAAATATGTTGGCGTGAAAGTGAAAGCCGCAATTAATGGATATGATGGAAAAACGAGTGCATTTTCAAAATTACTCGAGATGAAGAGCGAAAGAAAAACGCGTGGGTGTTCTTCGTAGAAGAAAGGAAAAATCTTCGACTCGGAATAGTGGTACACTGTCACTTGGGGCCGCTCTCACTCGTTCCCCGTGCAATTTATCTACGCACACATATAGCAAGAAGCATTAACATAATCCGTTATATAACGTTGTTTGGGCGAAATGTGGGACGCGATTGCAACGCGCGGCTTGTCCCACTTACATAGAAAGCCATCGCGCAGTCGCGCCTAGGTTTATAAATAAAAACGCGCATTCTGCGAAACAACACCCCGTAGGAGGAGGAGAAAAAGGCTGCAACTTAATTGCATGAAGGATTGATCATTATTTCGGTACATCTTTGCAGGATGGGAGAGAGGCGTGGCGGGATTCGATGGTGCGGAAAATCGCGCGCACGACCGGACGGAAACTGAGGATCGCCTGCTTCCGGATACACGATTATAACATCCCGGAGGAAGAAGGCGCAAAAGCTCACCTCCTCATCCTCTAAATAACTGAAACTAATCAGGAGTTTACGGAGTGACCCACAACTGGGACGCTCGAAGCTCTGATCCTGCTGCATAATTCACTGTGAAAAGTGAGAGACGCGTTCAATAAGGATCTCGGGTATGTAGGGCACAGCACAAATGTCCCGTTTCGTATTCTCATATACTGGCGAAGCACAACAATGAAGAAGAGGAACGGAGATGCGAGAGAATAACCGTACGTACAAGATCACAGGAGATGCGAGAGCGTTCAAATTGCATTGTGTCTGCGGAGAAGAGGCCAGAAGGTCGATCCACTGCTTTAACATGCACATTACATTATCAACGCGTTATTTTTTTTTTATTCTCACCAGTCTGAACGCTATGTTTCTGCCGTAATTAAAAATAATAAATATTACACATCCTTATCCTTGATGACCACTAAATACTTGGCAAGTATATTATGAAATGTTAATCAAATTACTTGGCAAGTTTTACATAAACAGTATTTCAATAAACAAACCAATTCATAGTACTTTACAAGTAATTTAGCAAGTGAAACCATTAAATTTTCTTAACAATTTAACAAAATCAAAATGAAATGTTAATCAAATTACTTGGCAAGTTTTACATAAACAGTATTTCCATAAACAAACCAATTCATAGTACTTTACAAGTAATTTGGCAAGTGAAACCATTAAATTTTCTTAATAATTTAACAAAATCATAACTTTTAACTATTTAAAGTTAGATTTACACTTATCTTATTACGCAATACAAAAGTAGTGTGATAGTAAATAATGAGCGTGAAATAGAATTAAATTAAAAGTGTGCACAAATTAAAGAAGATTATTTATAATGCACAATCGCAACGTTTTCTATTTCTCCATTCTATTATTTGCTAATTATCACATGGTTCGCAACGCAGCAAATTAAGCTCATTAAGAAGAGTCGCACAGAAAGAAAGAAGGAAGAAAAAAAACGGCAGATGTCGGATTGAATTTCCAAAGGCGTAACAAAAAAAAGAGGCCCCAAAACAGAAAGGACAGTTGTCCAAAGTAAGACGAAAATCTGGTTATCCCGGATTCAGTTTCCGCATTCCATTGTCCCGTTAACAAAAGTCCAATGAATCGAAAACAAGAAGTTCAATAAAAAAAAAAGATGCACACAAATCGGTGAGAAAATCCATTCCGAAG